GTGGTTGGGTTGAATCCTGCATTAAAATATTGGCAATACATTATTTACAAACTACTTTCCCTTGTGCTATTTAGATAGTAGAATTTAGATATTTGTCATTAAACTAAGTTTTATGGATAACTTGTATCATTGGAAGGGAAAAGAGGATATACAGGAAGACTAATGTTTTAGAATATGATTGTAGGTGTAGCTCTATAGCTAGCTAGCTCGTAATATTACGTTTCTTTTGCGGTTAATAGTATGTGGATGAAGTTGAAAATTTAACCATTATATAAAAGAAAAAGAACATAATATTAGAGTCGGTAATTTGGGCGGGCCGGGCTTATTCGGGCCGGGCTCAATTCGGGCCGGGCTTATTCGGATCGGGCTTAAAGCATCCTACCCCTTCTAAAAAGCCCATATAGCCAAGCCCGGCCCTAACACCTTCGGGCTTCGGGCTTATTCGGGCTGGCCCAAATACCCGAAACTTTTTAAAATATTTTTCTATATTTTTTAAACCAATTTTAATTTTTAAATAATTCTATTAATCGTAAAATATTATCTTAATTTTAAAAGAATAAAATAAAAAATAATTTATCAACTTTGTATTTAAGTAGCTCTGTTATTATTTTGTTGTATTATGTATAATTTATTCATGAATGTTTCCTTTACTTGTAAATTAATGTCTTAATTGTTTAAATAGCTCTATCATAGTCATATATAATATTTTATATATTTTAATTAAATTATATTATTTTAATTATGATTAAGCTGATCCCAATTCAATCACAGTTAGACTACTAACTTAAAATTATTATTTCGATTAGTTCAAAGTTTTAAATAACTTTTAGGTAAATTATACTTTTCATTTTATGAATATAAAAAAATTGCCATCATTATATTATATAAAAAAATTATTTAATTATGAGTAAAATATTATTTTTTTGAAATCATTTTTCTTTAACTTTTTATATTGTTTAACTCTTATATAAAAGGGATTCTTACTCTAGTTTACTCTTAATTTTAACCAAATCTAGCATGGACAATAACCAAGTAATTATTCAAGAATATTATTCTATTTATTATGTTTATCTAGTAGTAGAGTCAGAAATTCGTACATGCCTAAATTTTATTTTTAAAATTATTTTCAATTTTATTTTTACTTTAAAATTAATTCTCTTAATTTATAAAAAATAAAATTATTTTTTTACATGCAAATGATTTATAGGACTCAAATTTTTTTTAACAAAAACTGGGTCTTAAAATATTAAAATAATATTAAAATATATTTTAAATATTATTTGAGATATTTTATTGATTAAAAATAATAAAAATATGAAATATAACTATTTAATTTTTTTTAAAAAAATAACTACATTAAAACACTTATATATATAGTATTTTGGTATAAAATGATATAAAATTTAAAAAATTAATTAATATTTATCATATTTTATATATTTTTTTTTAAAAAAATTTTTTTTTATTCGGGTATTCGGGGCCCGAATAGGCCCGAACAATAAAAAAATAATTTTTTTTCGGGCTTGGCCCTAAATTTTTCGGGCGGGTTCGGGCTGGCTCGTCGGGCTCGGCCCAAATTAACGACTCTACATAATATAATAATCATTTCACATGCCGGTTCGACCCCAGGACCCTACCATCACTTTTTTCCTTATCATCAATTGGTGAAATGAAAGTTTATCGGAAACAAAGCAATAGAATTTGGATGCGAAGTTCCCAGGAAATGATTGTATGAGCGAACGTGTCATGTCGTGATTTGCTGGTCTAAATCAAAACGGTAACAAGTTTAAGGTAATTATTATCGCATTCAGGCCTCATTAAGTCGGAGGAATTATGTTGCAGTGAGGTAACATGGCAATTGGGTTTGATTCAATTTTTAAAAGTATCAGCACTGTTGACAAAATTTAATACTATATAAAAACTAAAATATTTTGAAATATCTTTACAGGATTAAAAAATTTATTTTAAAATAATTTGAGATAAGAAAAGGTTTATAGTATCACTGTTTTTTTTGGCTTTTTACACTCAGTAATTAATGAATAATTTTTTGTTAAATAAGAAGATTTTTTTGTTGAAACACTTGTCCTTTTTCCATAACAAAACTCTTTTAGATTCTTGAATTTATCAATTAGTAAATAATTTTTTATTAAATATGAATGAGCAATTATTAATCATGATTATTTGTTGAAGCACGATCTACACTTATCTCTTTTTATAACCAAACTCTTTCATATTCTTTAATTTGTTAGTTAGTAAATGACTTTTTGTTAAATTTAAATAGGTATTTGTTAATTAACGAATGACTATTTATTAAAACATGATATGCACTTACCCCTTCCAACAATCAAGCTCTTTTAGATTCTTGATCAAACTTGTCAATTAAGGAATAGCTTCTTATTAAATACAAATGAATATTTTTTTATTAATGAATGACTTCTTATTGAAATATGATTTACACTTGCCCCCTTTCAACAATCAAGCTCTTTTAGATTCTTAAACTTGTCAATTAGCAAATAATTTCTTATTAAATGCGAATAAGTACTTGTTAATTAACAAAGGACTACTTGTTAATTAAAAAGAAAAGCATGGATAGTATAGTATTTTTCATTTAAAATTATTTTTAAATCAGTCTCTTAATACTGCGGTGATATTTCATAGTTGTTTGGTCCTTAATTGATATTAAATTATCATAACAGTCATTGAGTGATATTTTTTTCCTTCACTTTTTCTTTAAATTTTCCTAAAATATGAGCATTTCAAAGAAGAGAGATTGGAAAAAAAGTTCATCTCAGACATTTTAAGAACAACTTTATCTATGCCTATATGCAGCGTGTTTTATGAGAAAGGAAATGAAATATTAATTGTATGTTCTACCCATAATTATGATATTAATTGATATTATTATGTACAAAATTAGAAAATTGTGATTTATGTGTTTTAAGCTAAACAACAAACTTTTATCGATATGTAAGATTTAATTAGAAATATATTATACATAGGGATGGAAGAAGTACTCTTCGCTACAATATAAATCATTATTAACTAATAACTTCTAAAAAATGTTGATAAAAATTTGATTTTCTAACAATTTTCACATTTTTTCAATCATAATTTTGAGTAAAATAAATGTAATGGTTGACTTATTTAAAACACCATTATTTCACACCATTAGTTGGATAGAATACAGTAAATTTAGTGTAATTGACAAAATATATTAAACCTATCCAACGTCTTAGATTTTGAACTAAATGGGATTTTTAAAAAAATATTTTATATCATAGTCATGAGTAAGAGCATCATATACAAAAATTATCACAAACAAATTTATATATATATATATATATATTAATTAATCATATACTTTCTCTGTTCAAAAATATAAAATATTTTTTAAAAAGTTAGATATTTAAAAATATAAAACATTTTTGATTTCGAGGTGTAATCATTATTTTTTTAAAAGTGTTCCTATTGATGAATGATTTTATATTTATTGTAAGATGTTTAATAGGGATAAATATAAAAGATAAGGTTAGTTTAAAAGTAGATAACTACTTTATTGGGGATAAAATTGGTTAAAAATACCTTATATTTTTTAATAGAGGGAGTAACCATTAACTTTATTTCAAGCGAAATCAACTTTAATATGTTTGGATATGTATTAATTTTATAGAAGGTCACATTATTCAATATGAATATTATACATTACTATCTCTAATTTTATTTATAAGTCACTTTTAGTAGAAAACCCTTAAATCTTATTAACTTTATTTTTAAAATTTAATAAAATTTCACCTTTATCCTCTAATAAAAACAAAAAAATTAATAGAAAAAATATAAAAGATAGGGTTAGTTTAAAAGTAGATAACTACTTTATTGGGGGTGAAGTTTGATTAAAAATGTCTTATATTTTTTGAATGAAAGGAGTATCCATTAACTTTATTTCAAGTGAAATCAACTTTAATATGTTTGGATATATATTAAATTTTATAGAAGGTCACATTATTCAATATGAATATTATACATCACTATCTCTAATTTTATTTATAAGTAACTTCTAGTAGAAAAACCTTAAATTTTATTAACTTTATCTTAAAATATAATAAACTTCCACCTTTATCCTCTAATAAGAATAAAAAAAATTATTTTTAATAATTTTTCCTAACATTTAATAAGGATAGAGAGAAAAAGATGGATATGAAAAATGATGAAATGTCTTATAAATGGAACTAAAATTAATCTTTTTGCCCTTCCTTATAAATAAATATAGAGGAATATTTTAAACTCCCTACAATATAACAATATATGAGACTGTTTTAATTTATTATAAGAGTACAAGACAAGGTAAAAAAATGACCATTCAACATCTCAATATCAATATGAAAATTGAGATTTATGACAGAGAATTATAATTATAAGTCACATTGTTTAAATTTTTTACACAATTTTAAACAATTTTTACATATTTCCTTAGAGACTCCTACAATCTTATTATTTTTCTTAATTGTTTTCACACATTTAATCAGAGCTTAAAGTTGGAAAGATAAATAAAATCTTTTGAAAACCCTTGAATTATTGTCTATAAAAGTTGAAAGATACTCCCCTAGTCCTTTCTATAGGATACAAAGAATTTTTTAATACTATTCATAAATTATTTTATTAAATTTTAACATAAATTTTTGTTTTTACCCTCCATTGAATATTGGAGAGAAAAATATATTGTTAAACTATGTATATTTAATAGAGAGAAATTGATAAATTGTTAATTTTAAAATATAGTTAATAAATTTTAAAATTTTTTTTTAATTCTCATAAAACATGTTAAAAATTCCTTATAGACATGGAGCCGCATCTAATTCATTCATATCATTGTCACAAGTAACGTGCGTCTAGGAATAAATAAATAAATAAATAAATAAAGGTGGGCGACCGCATGGAGATGAGATGTATTCCATTGTGAAAAGTGTTAAGTTTCAAATGCCGTTCATTTGTTGGCAAAAAAAAAAAAAAATGCCGTTCATTTGGCGCTCTTGAAAGCTTAGAAAGTCAATCAAATCTGAAGCTTAAAACTCGCTGCCATCCTCCTTCATCACTATTGCCATTTCTCAGCAAAGAAGAAAGTGGGAAGAGATCACAGAGAGAGAGAGAGAGAGATCTGTTTTCTGCATATTTTGAATATAGTTTGATCAGAAAGCCATGGGTGCTGCAGCTTCGTCATCTTCGTCTTCCAAGAAGCATGAAGTGTTTCTGAGTTTCAGAGGTGAGGACACTCGCAGATCCTTCACCAGCCATCTCCATGCAGCGCTATGCCTGAGAGGTATAGAGACCTACATAGATTATCGGCTCCCAAAAGGCGATGACATATCCAAATCACTCATCCAAGCAATCGAGGATTCAAGCATCGCTGTTGTAATCTTATCCAAGGAATATGCCTCCTCCAAATGGTGCTTGAATGAACTCGTCAAGATCCTTGAGTGCAAAGAGGTTAACGGACAGCTTGTGGTTCCCATTTTCTACAAAGTGGAGCCATCTCATGTACGCAATCAAAGAGGATCTTATGAGGAAGCATTTGCAAAACATTCGAGGCAAAACCCAGAGAAGGTGGACCAATGGAGACGAGCCCTTTTTGAAATTGCAAGTTTAGCTGGTTGGGACTCTCAGAACTGGAGGTCAGTCTTCATTCTCTAAGACTAAATCTTTGAATCATTGTTTCATAATTTTTTTCCTTTGATTCATCTTCCTGATCATATAAATTGCGTTTTGTTTTCATGAATTCATGCAAGTGTTCTCATATTAGCTGACCGGGCATCTAATTAACTGGCAGTGAATAATAATTTTGGATGTCCAGTACAATATAAATATATATATATATTTATTTATTTATTTGGGCTAGCCCATGTTTAGGATATCAATTGCACCAAGCTAAAGCTTACGATGCAAGGTTCTACAAGGAAAAAAAATTACTAATATGACATACTTTTTAAGCCATAAATCAAGAAGTTAATCCATTTCTAAAACATGGTTATATTTGGGTTAAAGATAAATTTTTTTCCTATACTTATTTTTTAGGAACGCTAAGCACCTTATATTTTTAAGTGAGGAAATTTTTTTCCTAAAATAATTTTTGAGTTCAAAAAATGCCCTGCTATTAGGAGGCCGTTAATTGTGCCATTTTCTATTGAGATGGCATGTGCATGGAGTTCATGCACAGTGACAAAGTAAAACTCTGATCATGTCCTTAGGTACTAATTTTTTTTGGGTAGAAATCCTTTGGTACTAATTTATCTATAAACTCTTTTTTTAAAAACGCTAAACATCATAAAGTCTTTTTCTAAAAGTACGAAATACCTTGATGTCTTATTAAAATAAAATTTAATAAATATTGCTAAAATATTAATATTTTCATATTTAATAATTTAAATATCATTATTTATAAATATTCATTCAAAATTTATAAATTATTTTTTAAATATTAACAACTCAAACTAACATTTTATAAATTTATAAAATTTTTATTTTTTATATATCAATCTTCAATCTTTTTTCCGAAACAGTGCCCAAATTGTTATGCTTTTTGTGCATATATAAACTTACTTGTATTTTTAATATTAATTAAGTTCCTTAAATTTTGAAATCATTTTCTGTAATTTGTTTGGTTAATTAATGATTTTCTTCAAAATATTGCAATGCCCAAATTTAATACTTTCTATACATTGCAATTTTAGGAATAAAATAAAAAAAAATGATAAATCAGGACTAACAATATGTCACAAAAATGTTTATTTAAAAGATATCAATTTATTTCATTAATGTGCTATAAAAAATGTTACTTAATAAGAGAAAAATGGAGAGATGAGAAAAAATGTTACTTAATAAGAGAAAAAAAAATTTCACTAATTTTGAGTTTCATCCATTCATTTTAACGCAAAATTATAAGGTATACAAAATATTAAAATATTAAATTGGATGGTGTAATATTTTAAATAATAATATTTAAATTATTAAATATTAAAATACTTAAAATTTTAACAACATTTATTAAATTTTATTTTAACAAGACTTCAAGGTGCCCAGCGCTTTTAGAAAAAGATTTTAGGGTGTTCATTACTCTTAAAAAAAATTCAAGGGCAAATTAGCACCAAAAGACATGATCAAAGTCTTATACTGTCACTATGTGTGGGCGCGTACATGATACGTCAGTAGAAAAATAAAAAAATTAATAGCTGACTAATAGAAGGGGTTTTTTTGCTCTTAAAAAAAAAGTTTAAGGATAAAATTATCCCACTTAAGAGTATAGGATGCCCAACATTTCTAAAAAATAAGTATAAGGATAAAATTAGACCTTAATTCTATTTTATATTAAAATTAGAAAATCCTTGATAATTTTCATCTAAACGAAAAAAGCTTAACAATTTTGTAGAAATCTTAGCAACACTTCCCCTATAATTAAAACCTTTCCAAAAATCCCACAATACAATTTACAAGCAGAATATCTTATTAATAATGAGCACAATCCCATCTAGCCAATAAGTAGAGTATACAACCAAATAAAAAGCCTAGCTAGCCTATATAGAACACCTAATGATATTTAAAATAAATTACATAAAATTCTTATAATTACATCAAAAGAAGATAATTTTCAAGTAAATCTCCACTCAACACAGCTATAAGCCCCTCAATATTAGTAAAAGGTTTGGTTTTGACTAATAAATTTGAGACAAAAAATTTATCTTTGGGTGAATAATGTCCCATTGTAGATTTAAAGAAAGAAAAAGGAGACAATATATATTATATATAAATTATGAATTCCACAATAATAACCATTATCATGTTAAAAACACATGTTGCTTAGTTCAAAAAATCGTATATAAATATGTAAAGCAAATACATACATAACCGATTATAGGTAATAAAGAAATCAAGTTAATGTCCAATTTATAACATTTGCCTTAAACAACTGAACTATATAATTCATTCTTTTTCTAAAAAAAAAATTCCATGAACAGACCAGCAAATAGCTTCTTAGTAAAAATCAATTTTTAAGAACAATAAGTTACAAAATTTCATATTTTTATGGGATTTTATCAAATAATTAATAAGCATGGACACAAAATTCATGAGGGTAAGTAACTAACAAGTGTCGACATACAGTTTATAAGAATAAGTAACCAAGCACGATGGAAGACTATGAAACAAGTGCGGAAGGAGCCACGAAACAAGTGCAAAAGGAGGCCTATGAAACAAGCGTGAGTATGGTGCCTATGAATACCAAGCTAGTTAGGATTTTGTTGGATAGAGAGGCGCAGTAGAAGATTAAAAAATTTAAAATTTTTATCCCAATATAGACTGAACGAACTTGTTTAAGTTAAGATGGATAGAAGAATTACCTTTTAAGTTTCAAATTTCACGTGTGTTCTGTACAAGAGTTTGGATCTCAGAAGCTGATAACGTAGATCTGCTCCCTTTACCGATATCCACACGAACAGCTCTCTAATTCAAAAATGTGCTAGCACTCCCAACATCCATTCATCTTTGAACATCATTCTACTCTTTCTTTAAGGTATTTTACGGCTTTCAAGGTATTTGGCCATCAAGACTATTTCTAACTCTCACTTGGGAAGCACACCCCCTTATCTATCATTTATATGGATTAGGGTTTTAATCTTCCTTTAATGAGCCAATAAAAATTTAATTAAATTTATTTTATAAATTTAATCCATGATATCATATTTAATTTAAATTTATATTATAAATTTAAATTATAAAACTGACATGATATTTTCTCATATCATGTTAGTTATTAAATTTAATCTATCATGTAAAATTAAATTTAAAACTAACACAATATAATATAATATAATATATATTAGATATACATATTATCTATATATATATACATGAAAATACACACATATGTGTATATATAATAAATAAATATATATATATATATATATATGTTATAATTTAAATATACATATATATTTCAAATATATATAAAATTATATTTTGAATTTTATTTTTCATATAAATACATATAAATATTTATCAAATAAATATTTAAATATATATATATATATATATAATTCATTTATCCTATATTACATTTATTGAATCTAGATATATTCTATATTCAATAAATTTGGACATTATATCTCAAGTTTAGCTGTTTTTGTATGCAACCTTATAGGCTCATATGAAGTTTGCAATAAGCTAATTATGACATTAGCCCATAAGTTATAAGTGTCCTCTAATAAGACATTATAATTACCTAATTTACATAGGAATCGATGATTCGATGTAACCTATCATATAACCATTTCACATCTTTTTATCATGCGGTATTTCAGTCAAGTATGAGACATGAAATTATCATTCTCCTTTACCTAAATGTTATTTTCTTGATCTTTGAGTGGACTGATATAAAAATGAAAAAAAAAACCTTTTTATTGTAGTATAACCATATATTTTCTTAATTTTACTTATCGAGGGGCACAGTAATATCTCTCAATCAATATGAAGGACAAATTTCATCTTGATCACTCATAATTCTCTACATGAATATTACTAAACTAAATCATATCTTCTATGATCACTCGGTTAAAGATAACTTTTGACTAGGTCAAAGTTTAGTGGTTATCATGTAGGAATCTATGATAATCTCAAGTCAAAAGGCTTAATGATATGGTTACATATGAGATAAGCTTATAACTTATAACATGCAACTTTTTCATAGCGAGTCGGCCTAGCACCTTGTACTCTTTCAAATACCTACAACTTTGATTTATATCTATATAATTAATCAAAGTTATATTAGTCTTGTTTCATTTATAATTCCTTATAAATGACCGACCAAGGACATTTAGGATAATCACTATAGTTTGTCCAATAATATAGTTATCAAAGTGAACATACAATTGATATGATAACAAAAGAGAAATTTATTAAATAACAATATATATAGTATAATTATTGGCCCTACATCACAATTTTCAACATATGTAACTTTGGTACACCAAGAGTTAATAAAACTGTCATTAGCAGCCAGCGTTCTAAAATCATGTCTCAATTTAAACCAAGTATGCATGGGTCTAAAAAGAAAATAAATAGGTTTATCTATTCACATCATAATCATCATATAACAATTTCAAATAAATCTCCCATGCTTGAATTGTAGTAATAATACTTATTCTTTTAAACCATAAGATCAATCAATATTAACATGATAATACTTTATGAACATCCATTCGAAAAACTAGTTTAAATTCTTTCATAAAATTCACGTGATGCAAGAATTTTAAGATAGTAGTTGATGAAAAATTAAATCATAACATTAAATAAGCATATTAAATATGGATATGATTAATTAAAGTTTCAAGGAAAATAGGTTTACAAAAAGCTACTAGGACATTATTCACTTACGTAAAGTGTTTTAAAAATTTAAAATTCACCTTTTATAACTTTAATCGAATTTCCCCCCTTCCAAACATCCTATAAAATATATAAGATTTTAATAGACTTTCAAAAAGTTTAATAATTCCCTTCCATATTATTACCACCAATAATTAACTATAATAGCTTTGAAATCTTAAAACCAAGACTTTACATATAAAGGTTGCTCAATAGCCATAGCTAATTATTTCTTCTGTTAAAAAATATAAAGCATTATTTTAGGGTTAGATGTTAAAAAAATATAAAATATTTTTAATTTTTAAATATAATTATTGTCTTTTTTTTTTAAAAATATTCCTATTGAACAAATCACTTTATATTTTTTTAAGATAAAATATCTTATTAAATAAAATAAATATGATAAAATAAGATTAGTTTAAAAATAATTAACTATTTTTTTAAATAAAATAAAGTTAAAAATGTTTTATAGTTTTTAATAGATAAAGTCTTGGTTAATATATAATCTCCTCTTCGAGCTTTGTATCAAATCACAAAATGTACGTCATTTTCAAACCATAATAAGCTTTTAACATTCAATTCTCTTGCCCAACTGTCGCTCAACAACCCATAACTCCTTAAAAATTCAATTGGCTACACATAACCTCATCATCATTTCATAATTAAATTTCTTTACAACATTTAAGTTAAATTCAAAAATTAATAACATCCAAATTAGATATATTTTTCATACAAGAGTTAATTAAATTATAAAAATTATATTTTCAAACAAAATTCCTCTCTTAACAATATTTTATCAATCACCTTACAATCATCAACCTCAGACTCAGACTAATGTTCCAAGTCCCTCCTCTTCACTTTCATTTTCCAAAATTCTCCAATATAATTATTACAACCAGTCAGCGTCTTGGACTCCATTCCTCAGACAAGAAAATCACTTTTAATCTCAAAGAAAACCAATTCCATCTCCTCACCTCTCACGGTAATTAAAAAGGAGAAATGCATGACCATAGCCATCAAACGCACACAGCACCAGTAAAGTGGGTATTACAATTTTAACCTCTTAAACATTCCCACATACACGGGCAAACAAGAAGGAGAAGGCATCATAGCTCCTCACCACAACAGCGACAGCAGGAGCAGAGAAGGAACGAGAGAGAGAGACGCTGGCTGTACGGACAAGGAGAAGAAAGAAGAAGATGCTCCTCACGCACCCCGCCGAAGAAAGGAGGAACGGTAAAAAGAGATCGAAGCTCCCACATACTAGCCGATGTCAACTAGGAAAAAAAAAAAAGATAGTGCAAACAGGGGAGAAAAAAGAATCTAACGCACCCAGCGAAGACTTGCAGCAGTGACGAACTGAACCCCTCCTCACACATGCGCCGGCGACATACAGATGAAAGGACGAGGAAGAACGGAGGAGGTCAAATGAAGAAGGAGAAGGAAAGAAAGAAGCTGGTACACCCCACGGCTACTTGAATGACAGCAACGCAACACAGCCAAACGACAGGGCGACAATCACGGCAAAGGCACGAATAGAGAATGAGACGCAGGAAACAGAAGGGAGGTGAGGATTTCTGGCACACTAACGTCACCGACGGCGACAGTAGAATGAGAAAGGCGGTGAACCGAGATCGCTGGGCAGAGGAATTTGGGATTTCTCGCGAGTAAAGGTGTTAGGTTGGGGAAGAGGAAAGAAGAAAGGGGGAAATAATCTGATTGAGGCGGGGGCAATATAGTAATTTCACAAGGATGGAAAATAAAATCCAAAAGAATCAAACCTCAGACCTGCCTGATAAAAGATAAAGTTGGAAGTACAGGTGAGTCTGACTCTTAAAAGTCTAAATTTTAAAGTTCGGTTCTTGATTTTGAATCCTGTTTTTTAAACCCAGCTTTTATATAAAAGGCTTAAGGTAAGGCTCGCAAGCTCTTTTTTAAAAAATAAAAAAATTAAAATAAAATTAAACATTATAAATTAATTAAAATATTTTAAAATTAAAAAATTAAAATTCTCATAATTTTTCAAAAATTAAACAACATATGTTTAGAAGTCTAGTAATAAAATTTAAATTTTGATTAAAAAAATTATTTTATAAATACACAAACATAATAGTTATAAAAAATAAAAAATATCAAAAATTTTATACTATACACTAATATTATTAAATTATATTAAATTAATTTTAAAATAAATTAAAATTAATAATAATATAATGTGTGTAGGATCAGGTGAGCAGGTCATTGGCTTCAAACACGTGTTGCACCAAAAAATAATAATAACAATAATAATACAACAGGGCTTGAAGGGCCGCCCAAGCCCGAGTTCTTTTTTATAGTGCTTGTTAGGGCCAAGCCCTTAGGGTCGATTACTTTAAAAAAATTATTTTTAAAGCCCGAACCTTTATTTAAACAGGACCTTTAAGTTCGATCTTTATTTTCAACTCTAATAAAAGACTGGCTCATTTGCCACTAGACCAACTTTTCTATGTGTAGAATTTGTACAGAATATATGTATATATACATATTTTAAAATACCTTAACATAAACCTCTATTCCAATTGAATTTTAGATCATTAGAGAGCTACTGTCAGGGAAGAAAGAGAGGAGGGGGATAGGGTTGGGTAGAGACCATAGTTGCCAAGCTTGCCTCAGACGCCTGACACACCCCTTTTCTTATTAAATTAATGATGCAAGACTTGGTTTCATATTCATTGAGTTTTACACTGGCCATGCCAAGAGAGAAAATTTCAACTTAGTATCAATCAAATTCATTTTTAAATCTATAGTATCATGGTAAATATTTTTTAATGCGTAGTATTTGGATAAATAATCTTTTTTTCTATAATATGGTGGTCAATTTGTCATAATGTAATCATGTCACTCAAAAACAAATACAATATTCAATTGGTTGTCACTTTGTTTAATAAATTGTTTATTAATTCATTTTTATTTAATACATTGACACTTTCTTTCTTTTCAATTATTCGTCTAATATCAGGGATGAAGCAAAACTCATTCAAAATATTGTTAATGACATTATCAAAATGCTAAACCATCAATCTTCAAGTGCACTAGCAAATATTGTTGGAATTGATGAAAATTCTTATCATATTGAACTTTTGCTAGAAAGATTCTCAATAGTTGGAATTTGGGGTATGGGCAGAATAGGTAAAACAACCATGGCTAAGGTTGTGTTCGCCAAATTTCACTCTCAATTTGATAAGTGCTACTTCTTGGAAAATTTTAGAGAGGAGTCAGAAAAGCATGGACTAAACTATATTCATGATAAACTTTTCCATGAACTATTAAATGATACATCTCTTGAAAGGCTTAGTCATAAAAAATTTTTGATTGTCCTTGATGATGTTAGCAACACAAGTCAATTAGATTATTTAGAACGTGAAGCTCCTCCTTTGGGACCTGGTGATAAAATCATAATAACAAGTAGAGATAAGCATGTTCTTGATGGAAGAGTTGAAAAAATACACAAAGCAAAGGCATTGGGCTATAGTAATTCACTTAAGCTTTTCAACCTTAAAGCCTTCTGCGAAGATGGTTACAAAAGTGAATATAAAGAACAAGTTGAAAAAGAAGTTGCTTATGCCCGAGGCAATCCTTTAGCCTGAACAATATTGGGTTCATTTCTACATTCCAAAACTGTAAAGGAATGGGAAAGTATGTTGAGAAAATTAGAAAGGGCAACCCATCAAGATATTCAAGCAACGTTAAAACTGAGCTATGATGGACTTGATAATGAAGAGAAAGAGATATTTCTAGATATTGCTTGCTTTTTCAAAGGTGAATCTATAGATCATATAATAGCAACATTAGAGAGCTTAGAGAGCTTTGGCTTTCATGGAAGCATTGGTTTGAGAACCCTTATAGATAAGTCACTAATTAGTATTGACCACCATCAAGTGCAAATGCATGATTTAATTCAAGCAATGGCTTTCGAAATTGTTCATCAAGAGTGTATGCAAAATCCTGGAGGACGTAGTCGACTATGGAATCCTGATGAGATCTATGATGTACTAAAAAATAATCAGGTAAAAAACAACCTTTCTAATTGACATGTGGAAAAAATGTAAATATAAAGCAATATAATCATTTTCTTTTGGATTTTTGTTTTTTCAAGGAAGTGCTGCAATTCAAGGAATAAGTTTAGATTTGTCTCAAATTAGAGACTTACAATTAAATGCTGATACCTTTAAAAAGATGACTAATTTAAGGTTTTTGAAACTCTATTCACTGCGGGAAAAGAGATCATGTGTTGTGAATCTTCCCTCAAGGCTTGAGTCATTTTCCAATTCAATCAAGTATATTTGGTGGGACAATTTTCCTTCAAAGTCTCTACCATTGTCATTTTGTGCTGAGAAGCTAGGTGAACTTCACATGCCTAATAGCCAACTAAAAAAACTATGGAATGGAGTGCAGGTATAACATAGAAATATGAGCTTTGATTTTCCCCCCTACAATTTAACTAAAATTTAAGATTTTTCATTTTAATTGGTGCAGAACTTGACGAATTTAAGGATGATAATCCTTCATGGATGCAAACAATTGATAGAGTTGCCAGATCTCTTGACGGCTCAAAATCTTGAACGAGTTTATCTTTCATGGTGTGAAAATTTATGCCATCTTCATCCATCTATTTTATCACTCCTAAGATTGGTTGATTTGGATCTTTATGGATGCAGAAAGCTAAAGAGTTTGAAAACTGAGAGTCATTCAAAATCTCTCAAACGCCTAGTTGTTAATGGTTGCTTTAATCTCAAGGAATTTTCATTATCTTTTGACAAACTATTTTTTTTAAGGCTAAATGAAACAGGCATTGAGATATTGGACTCATCAATTAGGCGTATGGAGAAACTGCAGGTACTCTCTCTCAATGGCTCAACTCTAAAGAATCTTTCAATTAATGAGATTTGTTGGCTAAAATCTCTTCAAGAGCTTCATCTTTATGATTGTGGAGAAATAATTGACAAATCAAAACTACATACCTTATTTGATGCTTTACTATCTCTAAAATCAATTTATTTGAATGGGACATGCAAGTTAACTGAACTTCCAAACAATATTAAGCATCTCTCAAGGCTACAGCGTCTTTATGTAAGCAATTGCAAGAGCCTTCAATCTTTACCAGAGCTTCCACCATCCATTCAAGTATTACATGCCCGTGCTTGCATATCATTAAAGATACTACAACTCACTTCTCTTATTGAATCTTCACTATTGGCAGATGAAATAATGATGGGCTTAACACCATGTTCCTTAATTAGTTATCTCAGAAATCTTAAAGAGCTTATTCTTGAGGGTTGTGAACAGTTGTATGAATTCCCTAAAATGATCGACTCCTTATCTTCATTATCTTCATTAGATTTAAAAGGAAGTAATATGGAGAGCTTGCCTACCAGCATCAAGCATCTTTCAAAGCTAAAATACATTTACTTGGGAAATTGTAGAAGACTTCATTCTCTACCAGAAATGCCACCTTCTATTAAAACTATTTTTGCCAATGATTGCTCATCACTAAAGATTATACCTACTTCAGTAACTTTTGCACCACATTTGAGGTTTCTATTTCTCAAAGATTGCTTGAAATTAGGGAACCATTCTTTATCGCATGTTACAAAATGTGCTTATTTCTCATTGAAGAGATTAGTGTACACAAAATGAAGAGGTGGTGTTTGTTATCCTGGAAGAGAAGTTCCAGAGTGGTTTAGATTCAATCAAGGAACAAAGGCTTCCAACTATATAACTATTGAGCTTCCTTCAACTATGAACAATCTTATTGGCTTCATTTTCTACTCTGTTCTTTCTCATCATTCTGGAGGTGAGTTGCAATGCCAACTTTATTATGATGGTAAACAAGCAGAATACTCAAAATTTCATATGATAATAACAAAATTTAATTCAGATAATGTTTTTCTATGGTATGATCCCAGCACATTCATAAACTTCTACAAAACAATAGACGATCAAAACACCAATTGCAGAACAAAAGTGTCGTTTGAATTCACGATGGTTACATACAGGAAGAAGTTTTTTGAGCTAATCCAAAAAGGAAAGTCAGCTAATGATGTGATTGTAGAATGTGGAGTTTGCCCAATATATGCTTCAGAATATTACAACTTGCTTCAACAAATGGAATCAGAATCAAAGTTAGGTACCTAAAATGAGTCATGTCATGATGTTGATGAGCATTCACTTAGTGGAATACTAGAATATGCTAGATCCTCATTGAAGCAAGGAAAATGTAGCAATTTTGAAGGAAGTGTTGTTCCAAAGTGGTTTACAAGCAAAAGTTCAAAGATAGCACTGTTCATGAGCTTATGTGTAAGTGTTCAGCTACCTTTAGATCTTGACAACGTAATGGGCTTTATTTTCTACTTTGTTATACCTCATTTCTCCTCAAAAGAAAGGGATATATGTCACTCCTCATGTAAAGTCAGTTTATATCGTAGGAGAAATTGTGGCTTCTATTTAAAGGGTCCAACAGGATGGCATTATTCAATGATAGAATTGAATTCAAATGATCTTTTTCTATGGTATGATCCCCTCTTTTGTAAGCTCATACTGCAAAAACTTCGACGAAGAGGAAATGGTAATGATGAGGAGCTTAGATTTGAATTTAGGTTTGGCAATATTTTGATTAAAGAATAGGGATTTGAGTTCATTGATTGCTTGATCAGAGAAAGCGGAGTTTGCCCAATATATGTCTTAGAGTACACAAACTTCCTTCCTCAAAAGAAATTGAAGGTAAGTAGTACTCAAAGAAAGAGGCATCAAAATATTGATAATGATGATGATGACCAACACCAACTCCCTTCAACAAAAAAGTTGAAGGATTCTTCAATCATGCAATCTGTTTTGCCAAATTCTGAGTTGATACTTATGATGTCCATGAGTTGATACTTATGCTGTCCCAATTGAATTTGGAATCTACAAAGAATCACACTCATTAGAAATAAATCAACCATGATCCATTATTTGATCGGTATGTATTTCTCTTACATTGCTTCTATTAAGTTTGATTTTGGTATGCCATAGCTAACCTAAGCAAATATAGACCATATTTTTAAATAAAATTCATTACTTGGCAATATATTTAAAGTTTAAATGGTAGATTTGCTTTTAAATTATAGGTTTAGAAATGTTTAGGACTCTAGATTCATTTTTGATGCAATATCTCCCTTTAACATTTCAAAATGGTGCAATATTGCCCTTACTGTTAACAAATATTAAATTTGACTGTCCAAAAAAAATTATAGAAAATGACCTCACAAATTACAAAAAAATGACAAAAAAATTTAGAAAAGTTTCTTGGTCCATTTCTATAGTTTTTAAGATTGTGTAAAGTAAATTTTTGGTCAACTAACAGTCAATGTTAATATTTTTTTAATGGTAAGATAATTTGCACTATTTTAAAATGCTGAAGTACAACATTGCAACAAAAATGAGTTTGTAATTTTTTTTGAATAAAAGTTGAGACATACATTAGTTAAAACTTATAGTAAAAACTAAATGGTACAAATAAAGCCAACAAAACAAAACAAAAAACAAAAATAAATCATCAACTTGCATCTCTTGTAACAAAAGATGGTAATTGATCAAAGATACAAAAGGGAGAAGTGATGTTGTGGGACTACTTAGCGAGAGCATCAGCCATTAAATTCAACTCTCTATGCATGAAATTAATTGAAACATTCCATTCCCTTTATAGCATATTCTTCCCTTTTTCAATCACATCTTGAAAAAGGGTGAATTTGATCATTACCCCTTGTGATTAGGTTTATAGCTTTAGCATTGTCAAGATAGGCCACAATTGATCTGTACCCTTTCCTCTAACAGAGGTTTAGTCCTTATATCAATCCTATAATTTCAACAATTGTTAGAGGAATTGAAGATAATTTGTAGCTAAAACCCCTTAGCCACTTCGCATTACTGTTATGAATCGCTCCTTTACATCCATATTGGCCATTTTGAAGGACTGACTTATCAACATCAAGCCTTACAAAGTTTTCTTTAGGGCCTATTTAGTATTATGGTATTAGAAGGGTTAAAATGGATATGGAAATGGAATTAAAAATTTATCCTATTTGGTTGGCTAAAATTAGATTGAATTAAGTTTCCATGTGGAGTTCATTTCCATCAAAATTGATGGAAATCATTTCCATAATAAAAATTAAGTTTTGCAATTCCATGATGCATTTTTTATTTTTTACCCCTCCCTCTCGATTTTTTCTTCTTTATATTAGCCCTCTCTTGTCTCAACCTTCTGATGATCGACTTGTCGGATTTGACAAAGACGACAACGACAGTGACAACCTCTTCTCCATCTCCTTCATCGATGGTAACGGTAAGCACCGAATTTGGAGAGAGAATACAGCTAACACTTGTTCTTCATACTCCTTCTTCGTCGAGGGTGATGGCGATGATCTCCATCAACAGCGATAGCGAGCACCAGATCTAGAGATAGGATATTTGCATCGATCTCATCACCTGTATCTTTTGTATATTTGCATCTTTCTTCATTCTTTTGCATAGATAATCGATTTGTTCCTAAATCTAGGTTTTGATTTTTTTTGAATTATTGCTATTGATTGGATGGAGATTTGGCCTGTGGTTTTTCAGGCAGGTGGTCGAGGGATTTTTCCCCCTGATTTTAGAGGGTATTTTAATATTTTTACATTTAAAATATATATATTAATTAAATATTATACCAGGATTCCATGAACATACCAAACATATTTTTAAATCTCATTTCCATTTCCACTTCCATGTCTATTTCCATCTTTATATCCATTGTCATTTTCATTTCCATCAAAATCATTTCCATTGTATCAAACGAGGCATTAGGAGGTTGCCACTTGTCTTGGACCACTCTAATATTTCCATAAAGAGAATGACTCATTTTGAGGTTTTTGTCTAGGCAAGCTTTGTAGAAACTATTCTTAGCATCAACGGCATTTAAAATCTCATGATTGTCAAAAAGGTAATTATATCTATCCGTCCATATGTCCTAGCATATATATCCAAAAAGAGTAAACCACTGAATTTGACGAGTAAAGGGTTTACCAATGCTTTGTTTTAGATTTCACTTTACTCATTCATCTCCGTATAGTTGGAAGAATACCAACATGTGTTCCTAGCACCCCACTTGTTAGAATATCCCTAAGTGAGCCCAAAAGAAGGTTACAGCTTAAGCCTAGTGAATAGAAGGCCCAGTTCTTAGTCTTTTAGGTCTTTTATTCTGTAGATATTTTATGGACTCTATAGTCTTTTCATTCCTTATTCTTATCTGTACAAACCGTTAGACAATTCTTTTTGTATTATGGTTTTTATCCCATTACTATATAAGGAAATACAAGCATTGGGCTCTAGGCACCTCATTATTGACAATTTCCTCATTTGTGTAAATTCCTTACTTGGTATTAGAGCTACCAGGCATCTACCATGGCTGACGAAGGGTCTCACACTCTAAAAACTTCCTCCAAGTCTCACTCCTCTTCGTCATCCCTTCTTTCAGCTCTTAATCTTCCCAAAAACTCCTCTGGGAATACTGCTTTGGCTCAAACATGTTTTGTCAAACTCGACAGAACCAACTTCTCCATTTGGTCTCATCATGTTCTTCCCACCATCAAGGGGCACAAACTTGAGGGGTTCATTAATGGCACTAGTGTTTGCCCCCTTCAGTTCATTATTGAAGATGATGTTTCTAAGCCAAATCCTGACTTTGAGGACTGGGTGGCAGCCGATTAGTTGCTATTCAGTTGGCTCCTTAATTCTATGACAGTTGACGTATCATCTGAGATGATTGGTGTGAATTCTTTTGTTGGTCTTTGGCACACAGAT